AAGCAAAGCTAGACGGCACACAACTTTGGAAGTTTAATATTTTCTTGTTGTCATACTTTCCTTTACTTCATCCTCTACTTTTCTTTAGCGCGGGTTGTAAGCGGCGAACAGAAACTTGGACTTCAGAACAAGTGCACTTTTAGTTTTCACCGGTGCCTGGCACAAAAAAATGCAAAAATAAAAACGCTTTGATTTATTAGTAAAGTATAGCTTTACGAGACGACGCCAGGGTTGTTAGTTATCAAGTGCTGGGAGTATTTCGAGTACGTCTAGCGAAAAGTTGAAGCTCAACGCTGTCGATGGCGAGTTAATAAAAAAACTTACCGCGACGATATATTATCCATGCGGTAAGGCGCACAGGTTTAAAAGTCCACTTAAAGACTTTCGGCTCGGAGCGGATGTGAATGCGGAAATGATAGGAGGAGGCGAGGTCGAGTTGAAGAATTTGAAACTTTCGAGTGGTAAACACCAAAGTTGAGGCAGGAAAACTGCGAATTGCTAAAATGATTAAACCTTGAACTCGTTGCAATGAAAATTATTCCAGGAAAATACTACAATTTGTCCTTGCTAGGAATCGTTACACAGTCGATATGCTGCTAGTATTTGTATAGTTTTGCATTCGTTCCGATGGTTCTAGTCATGATCATCTGCCTCTCACCTCATTGTAATTCATATGCGTGTCGAGGCGTGCAACGTGCGCGTGGGATATGTGGACACTTTTCATTATGAATGAACCTCGTGGATTTCCCAGGGCATTTGCAGTTCTCCGGAGGTTTCGAGCTCGTCCTGTCGTCCTCTTTTGTACCAATGCCCGATATGTCTGGGCGTATGTGTAGGTATGTATACCCACTCCTCACGGGCTCTCACCAGTTCTAACCCTTTCCAAGTATGTCTCCTGGGTGAATCGTGGTGGCAGTGATGCCGTGCGCTGTGGTCGGCGGGGTACAATGTGAATGCACGACGTGTACGTGGTTTCGACGCTTGACGCCGGAGTGCGACGTACACCAACAATGGCGACTAGCGATGAAGGGACGAGCAACTCGAACGGCAACCGGAACCACTCGCAAAAGACATTCTTAGACTACCACACAGGAAGTGATGAGTACAAAGAGATTTTTGCGAGCAGCATGGTCGCTGTTTTTGCGTAATTTTTGGTTTTGGTTCAATTATTTGTGTAACGTACTGTATTACGAGCAAATGTGATATGTTGTCTGGTGTAGATGGCGAAAACCAGCGAAGACCGATGGACGTGAATTGTGTCCGGCACACTCGCCTATGACTTATTCAGGCGCCACTCCAAAGTGCTTCACAACTATTAAGCATGAATTTTTGGTTTATACCAAGCGTTTCAATTTTATTTACCGAATTAATACCTGCTGTCATTTTAGGATCGTAACCAACCAGTTTACCCAACCGTGGATTAAATTTCCTGTCAAAACGTAGTTCTATAACTACAATAGATATATTGATAGATAAATTCTGAATACAAGCGACGATTGAATATCGTTGAACTAAAGAGATTGATTAGATTAAAGTGAAGAGATTGATGGGTGCAACGTTGAACGTCAAAATTGAATTTCCATCCTTTGTTCCTCGTATTACGAACGTAGTGAAATTATAGCAGAAACTGGGTCACACTTGTGCAAATTATAATAACCCGCGTTTAAGTACACTACATCCACAGAAACAATTAACGTCAATAAATTGAACTATAGCATCGCACCTAAATCATACTCGCAGCAGCAGGTCTAATTTGCTGGAGGTAGAAAAATCGTATGCGGGGCGAGATGATTCATGGCGCACGCACTTGGAAATTCGGAAATGTCGGATTAGTGATAAATCAACGTCGCAGGCGATTAGGAGTAAATGAACGTCCTACCGCACGTAATATGTGTTTATGGCGAATTATATTTGTTCATTCCACGAGCGAATCAACGCTAGGTGCACTCACCGATTAACCTGAAATTCGGACGCGCACATAAATTTCACTATTTGTTGCATCCCCACATGATGTGTTTAGGTGTGGGTTTCCATTGCAAGCATCCAGCGTTGTCGTGCCATTAGCGATATTCCTAGTCAAACGCATTTAGTTTCGAGTTTCTATTGTTATTCCTATTTATTTCAATTGTGTGTCCACGTTGCTGTGGTGGTTCTAGTTTAAGCTGGAGAAATGGAAGCGAGCAAGCGAGTGCAGGAACACAAAGGTCCTGGTCGACGCAAAGTTATTGGCAGGTGTCGGAGCTTCCCACTAGGCCGGTCTTAATTAGCGGTCTCTGGTTCATTATTCACGTTTCTGCGTGTTCCGTGCAGCTCTTGGGTTTTGACCAAGGCAATTCACAGGACAATGTCTACAATGCCCACTTTCCTTGTACTTTCATAGGTACAAACCAAAGAAACTTATATCGTACTTTAAACAATTTAGGTTTCTATATTCTTTCTAAATGCTTTTGGTTTATTTTGTGTTTATATTTAGTTTGTATTTGGGCTTGATTTGATTATGAAACATCCTGTAGATTGGTAAAGTCTTTTTGCTCGCACATTGGTTAGTCCCGGCCCTGTCGATTTTCTAATGAAATATTTATTATGCCCCGTTTTTGGCTTTGACTTCGTTGTGGTGTTTTCGGTCGGGTTTTTCCTTTAACTTTGCTTTTACGCCAGCGTCGTCCTCGAGTTCCCCTTTAACATCGTCCGCTGCGAGCCGTCGACAATTTTAACGGAAGCCATTGGTATAATGCGTTTTGTTCGTTCGACATGGCCGCTCTGCTTCGTCGTCGCACATTCATTCGGTTTTGACCAATTTATTATTTGTGGTTTGTTGGAAATGTTGTTTGCCGAAAATGATTTCCCGTCCTCAGAAGTGCTCGTCGGGCCAAAACCGGGCATTATTTATTTATTTAGAAAGTAAGCAGGACAAAGTTCCACTAAAGTTTCTAATAGTTTTTGGTTTTTGGAAGAAAAAAACATAGTAAGATTAACTTGTTAGTCAGAATTTTACTTTAAGCAACATTGTTTATGACATTGTATACAGGCAATTACTTATTCCTTATTAAATATTTTTTGTTGGTGTTAATTCTTTAGGTGTTGATAGGAGTATGGACCTGCTATGTGTTGGCGGCAAACTTACTCGACATCCTTTTGTGAGAATTTATGATTTAACATTTGGCCAACGCCAAAAATAGGCAGAAAATATAATAAAAGAAAATGAAAACGCGGTGGACGCCAGAGAGAAGAATATGTGCATTAGATATGTTTTATTTTTTCTTCAATTTTTTTGTGGCACTTGTCGCCGTTTCTTGTTGGGCTTTCACTTGGCAATGGTTTTTGTTGTTTTACGTTATTTTTTTCCGGTATAGTATAATATTTTTGCCCTGCGGTTTCTTCCCTTTTAGCTGAATTAACCGAATTTTCGACGTGTTGTGTTCTTTATACCGCTACGATCTCCCTCTCGGTTACACAGTTTGTTTTATAGTAAATCCTTTTGATTCATTTTAATATTATCCATTACTGTATTAAATAATAATGCAGGAATATATTGAATTATTTTCAGTGAAGAAATAAAGTGAGAATTTTTCTGTATTTTATTATGTATAATTTTTATTGTGACCCACTTGTTTTTGTTATTATATAACTCCACACAGCGGCGAGAAACGGTTCCAAGGGGAATGGTAAATTACATTTTTGGATTTTTCCGCGCTTCACATCGCACATTGTGCGAGATATTTTTTGCTGGTTTTCTTCAGCGTATCCCGCGAGTGCGCTGCGTTTAACTCTTAGCTCTGCACGTTAGCGGGAATATTAGAACACAACAGGAAAAGAAAAAAGTAATACAAAACAATATTTCATTCCCTAACGTAGCCGAACAACACCGCCACACAATTACACTTATGCGCGGTACATTTTCACGAGTGCAGGGTTTTAACCAAAATTGTTTTTAAATTTAATTATTTTTATAGTTGATACTTTTAGTCTGCTCGACGCATGAAGCACTTTTCATAAATTGTGTGTTTAATTTATATGCGGTGCTTTAATAGGCGTGCAAATTGATTACAATTCGAGCATTGTAACGACATACGCTCAACCACATTTGTAATTTCCTTTCGATAAACGCTTTGCTTATTGCGAAATACGCGCACTGCTGCGCAATGTATGCTCATTCTCATTCTTATTATTCTGGTTGTTGCTGTGTTTGTCTACACATTTAGAGTATATACATTTATTGCTCAAATCGTTGGGAGTCGAGCCGCTTGGACTGGATAATGCAACGGAAATGGAGGCATAAATCATTGGTGGTTGGATGACGTTGGAAAATTGACAAGCACCTAAGTACCTACTGAATAACAATGCACGGATAATAAAAATCTAACTTTGCATATAAAATTATTACAAAACAATAAATTCAGAATATTACTTTTGTGGATAGTTAAAATTATTTTAAATTGAATTTCTTTGAGCGATGCCACAATCAGTACAATCCCATTACTAAATCATGTTTATTATCAATCGGCGGGAGCTGCAACAGTGACGCCTGTCGACGCGTCGGGTTGTTTGTATGTTTAAAGCGAATACACAGTATATGCCGCCGCGTAGGCTGTGATAACAACGGCGTATCGGTCACGCTTGGTTTGCTAAACCAGCCTCTTCTCCCATTATGAGATCAAAGTGAAACGAACCGCAATCCGCACCACATCAATAACAACACAGCATACATTCAACACTCACACGCGGTTGCCCGCAATCCCGCATTCGGTTAAAGCCCAAAAAGGAAAAACGACGCTTTTCCTCGAACGTATTAGCAAAAACATACGCTAAAGCTCGTGGACCGAGACGTCGCCAAAGAGCCACACAACCGAATGAGAATAACCAAACCGTGATCGTTAACCAAAGCGTGACTTAAACTTTTTAACTTATCCTTTTATATTATCCTACAAAGAGAAAGATACAATATTTATTATTTGATATACTTCAAAAATAAATATATCTAGGTAAAGTGTATAATAGAATTATTTTGTTAACTCATTTATTTCGTTTCTTTTTCTCGTCGAATTTTTGTTTGTTTGTGTATAAGTTAAATTAAATATCGCAAATAATTTAAGTTAATTTTGATCCGTTCGTATGCACCGCCGAAGATATTTTTGTATTTATTCATCGTCGTGCTTGTGGTACGGAAAGGGATGTTCTGGGTTGTTCTTGATGCGTTCGAGGACACGGTCGCAGGCTTTCTGGTCCTTGATTTGATCAGCCGGGCAGCTGGTTTGGAGCTCGCGCCAGAAGCAGTGTCCGAAGGTCAGGCCTTGAGTGCTGCAGGTCTCGCCGTTCTTGCCTGGGGCTTTCTTTGCTTCAGCGATGCAAGTGTCCAAAATGGTGTCGACTTTAGCGCCAAGATAAGTTTCGGATTCAAGGGCCTTCTTTGTAATTTCCCTGATTTTGTCTTCGACCAAGTTACCAGCGGCATCAATCTATAAAAATTAATTTTTAGGAAAGGTATTTGTTTGAATAAATAAAGTACTTACGGTTCCGTGTTTCTCACCGACACATTGGCAGACGCACTATAATAATAAATAATAATAATTTAGTTTTCTTCCAATTTAGACATTTTGGTTGCTTACGTTAATTTCGTTCTTAGCCTTTTCAATCTTCTCCTTGTCGCATTTGAAGGGATCCGAATGGAAGAATTCACGTTTGTCTTTACCGGTGACTTGTTTGAAGCACTCTTTCTTGAGTTGCTTGTCTTCGTCATGGATTTTCTTCAGGGCTTCTTCGGCGCAACAGAATTTGAAGTGATGTCTCTTGTGGCATTTGTCCTTATCGGCAACGGCGGCATCTTCATCGCGACGAGCGCGAGGATGCAGAGTCATCGAATCATCGGCATCTTCGAATTGGCTAGCCAAATACTGATCTAAAATATTCGCAAAAATATAATATATACAAGTTCAATCTATTAAATTTTTTATAATATGAAAACTTACTGTAGTCAGTATCATGGAAGTCGTAAGCATTGGCGGCTAGGACGCATGCCAACAGAGCGACGCTGGCAATGAACTTGTTCATCTTGCTTGGCTTGTGTGCTTGGTATTCGCGGAGGTGTGCAAAACACTGATTTGGCAAACTGCGGTCGTACTCCTTTTATACTTGCGATCAGTGATAATCGTGATTTGCGAATCGTTCGCTTAATCGAGGAGGAAGCGAACGCCTTGGGCAAAAATGTTTTTCAACACGCGGCGCAGAAAAAAATTCTTTACATTGAATAGATTTCTGTTGGCTTATTCAAATCTTGACCAATTTAATTCACATTAGAGCAAATTCGTTGAACTACAAGCTGTGCATGACGGTACAATAATAATTTCAAATTGCGTGTTAAAACATTAAGTTTATATTTATAAATAGACTCTTAAAATTGCACAATTATAAAAAATAATTTGAAAAAAATTAGAAAAAAACAGCAAAGTGTCTAATGTGTAACAAGTTAATTTTAATTACTTTGTTTATGAACGTATTGTTGTGATTATTATGGAAGAGATTAAAATTTTATTACGGGCATTGTTTGTAATTACATGAGGGACTCAATTTTGATTTTCCTCCCAGACGTAATTCAAGTATGAAATAATGTGTCTTATTGTACATGTTATTTGAAAGTGTCAATGTGGAAATTGTGCCATTGCAGTTTATTCATGACTAAATATATAAGTCTTGGTTTTAGCTATTATTTTATTTTTCAAGTTATGACGTAAAGATGGAAGTATTTTTTTATAATTTATGTATTTAATTTGTAATTATAATACTGAAAATGAATGATGAAAGACGATTATTCGTGCTGAATAATTCTAAACATTAGGAAACAGCGCCGACCAAAGATTTGTTGGACTTTGCGCGCATTACTTTGTTTCATTTGCGGCTCTTCTTTTTCGCGTCCGTTTCGCCCGACTTGGCCATTCTTGTGTCGCAAATAACTCAAAATTGCGACGAGAAAGTCGGTCCTTCTTCCCTACCGCGCCACGCAGTTGACAACGAAAACGCCGGAACGAAATTAACAAAGTTTGCCCCGGGATAGCATTGAGGCGCAAACTAATTAAGAAAGTACGGCGCTTCGTGTGGAGGCAGCGGTGTCGGCGGTGACCTCCTCTGGGGGCGACCAGCACCACCGTATTATTTTTCATTTAAATGTGTTCGAAAATTAAAAATTCCATGAGATGTCATAAGATGATTTATAGATTTACTTGCATAGACTATCAAAACATTTAAAAAAATGTTGAACAGTGTTCTAGTTCTAAGCTTTTTTTAATGCCCGTTTGGTCAAATTAAATGGTTACTTGCCTATTAAAATTTGTATTATTTGTTAAATGAAAAACTGGACTTTTCGGGCATTTTAAGGATTTGCATAAATTGACAATCAATCATGTCGCTTCCCTTGTCGCGCGTTTATTGCGCAGAGGGTGCGTTTAATGTTTAAAGTGGCACCGCAAATGGGCAGTGCGCGTATCGTTTTATCAAGTATTTGAAACATTTATTACGTTTGCGCAAAGTTTTAATGGCTTCCAATGATTCAGTGATTCAGTCCAATCTAATGTGTACCTATATATCGAGTCAAGCATTGCTCGGGTTTATTATAACATTTACATTTGGCATGATTAATTGTGGGCAAGAATCATGTCGACAATATTTTGGAATCATTTCTTCGACATTGTTGGGAGAAGTGGCTGCATAATTTAGTACTTTTGAAGTGATGGCGGCGAAGTTAGGAGTGAAAAGTTTCGAGTTACTTTACTTTAAATATTCCTTGCATTTATTTCTTTGTTGTGTGCGTTGTGTGTATGCTTTCTGCATATTTTAAAATTCTACATTTCATGTCTCCTTGACGTTTTGCGTTTCTTGTTTCGTTGATTGTTGTTCTTGTTGTTGTTGGTGTTGTTGTTTACGTTACAATTGCAAGTTGTAAACTGTGCGACAAGTAAAATCAAGGCATCAGAGTGATGAATTAAAACTGCCTTCAGTTGTGTTCAGATGAGGAAAACACACGGGCGGAAACAGAGAGAATAAGAAAAGTTTGAATGAAGCCAGGAATATTTATTATTAATTTGCACTTTGCAGGAATGACGACCGCAACCTGCCACTACGGGGTGAGGCCAAGCGTATGCAAACATATTCAAACTTGCGGCAGAAAATTCTAAAAAGTTTTCTGTGTGTGTGTGCGCTTGCGGGGAAATATATTTTGGTAAAAAGAGGTGCAATTAATTAATTGTGTAGTTAGTTCTGTACTTCAAACGGCGCAGATTTCGCCTGGCAATTTGGTGCTAGGTAGCATTTATTTTGCTGTTTGCTTTAGATGATTTCATATTTACTCGTCGCTTTCACCATGTTGTGTGTAAATAAAATGCGCGCAATGTGAAAAGTTTTTAATTTATTTCGAAATGATTAATAGAAGAGTTTTGTACGCGCCGCGTGGGACATTTGCATATTTAATTGCTAATTGAAAGTTGCAACTTGGTAATTGCACACCTACACATGCAAGAATGTGGCCTCATTGATACATATACGAGTATTCCGCAATAAGTGCACCAGCAAATGAAAATTTATCAATTGCTGACGTGGAACAAGGTTTAATTAAACATTGACGGTGTTGTACACGTTTTAATGAATTGGTTTTATCAGGTTTTTTTTATGTTCAACTACACAGAAAAATTCGTATTGTACCTAACCCTAAGACTGACGTGACGTAAATTTGTGTTTTTTATTTAAAATTTTTGTTTTGATTTTGATTAAAATGTCTTGCAAAATTGGTATTAAAATAGCCCTAAAACAAAACAGACTTGTTTGAAGAAAAAAATAAAAATTTCGTAATTTATAAACGCAACAATTGTTTGCGCCACTGCGTTACGGTGAATATTTGCTGCAAACGCACTTCAAACGGTGTCGAACAGAAATTGTTATGTTTGAAAATGCCAAAATATAGCGGTATTTGGCAAAGCACCACCTCGAAATTTATATATTTATAATATCCGGTTGTTGCGGTTTCCTGAATATCCACCCCCGATATCCTCGCGATATAAACGCTGCGATATTCACCCGAACCAATTAAAATTCCATCATTTTGATTTATTGCGCCCTGCTTTCAATTTTAATAAAAACAAAATCCATTATAGAATAAATAAATTGATAGCGTTCACAAAACAGTTGATGCGTTATTTTACTTGCATGTATTTGAAATATTTGGGGGTGCAAAATGACAATTGCCAGTTAAACCGCTCGACCCCTAGTCAAAATATTACGCTTGCAAGCTTTATCTGTGGCTGTCCCCACGTGTTACGAATCAATCACTGAGATATCGAAGTGTCTATAACGCATGGCGATGCGGGTCGATCGACACCCTTCACAAATAGGTTTTAACTCTCGCATAAACTTCAATTGCACAATCTCCTTTTTTGATATTTTTGTTTTTTACTTGCAAAAAAAACCCACACTGAATTGTTAAATTACTGGGGTCCTGAAATGTTATTTGTATTTTGGATTAATTTAGATATGTATAGCATTATTTATTAGTCAGTTTAACAATTAGCACCTGTATAAGCTGATTGAATTTACATGGTTCAACTTGTTTTTTTGTTTTGTTATTTATTGCATCATAAACATATTCCGCTACAAAATGATTAAACCAGTAATAAATAATTTAAATTGTGAATAGGTGCTCAAATATAAATTTTTACTAAATTTAGCATAATATTTCTTACAAAGGGGAATCATATATTAAGTTTTTATTTATAAATTACGACGTAATACCAGGTTTTGTCAGATTCTGTATTGTAATGGTTGAACAATCTACGAGTACATCAAGTGGGGTTTTAACATATGCCACTCACGTTTACCATCTGAAAAAATGCTGCGAAAGAGAAAATTGATATATGTATGTGTTTGTATCATGCTTTTCCCATGCGTGGAAACCGTACCGATTGTGATTCACATTTGCGTCGGTCATCTGACCCACCGCCCACATACGCACTTCAACATACACCAACTGACGCGGTCAACAATTCCATTTATAATTAATTAATTGACCCAATTATTTGCGCAACGGGTAATATTATCATAGCGATATGAGTCTGCTCAAACATCGATACGTACATATTGCAGGTTTTGCAGATGAAATAAAAAGGGAATTACCCGAGCGTTTAAATCAGCATTCTATTTGTTTAAAACGTTGAAACGCAAGAATGCCTCTTAATTAAATTGCGAACATGTTTACGTTTATTTGCAAATTTATTAGCAATGTAGCTATTTAGATATATTTATGTATTACAGTTTGATTAGGTTTAGAAATTCTAAAATGTAATATATATGATGAGAAGAGAGTATCTTTGTATTCACAGAGAGGCTCGTTTTAAGTCATGAATGTGTAGGAAAGTGCATGGTTTTAATTTAATTAACACTGTACGCGACTAAATCGTGTCATGAAAGGAACTGTCGCCCGCAAAGCCGGAAAATCCGCATATTCATATTTTAATCACGCCTGGAATTAAATAACCGCATTTAATTACGATTCAATTGTTTCATTTCTTGTTACCCACTGCATAAATCCGAGTATAGGATTGCATTTATCAAATATACTGTTTTCGCAATAAAGTTCCCTAAACACAAACATTGGCCAAATGTAAACCTAAGTCATACCTCGTTATACATACTTGTGCTTGAATTCTTTAATATTCACAACTTAAAATATATTTTCTCTTTTCTTAGCAAATCATAATCAGGAATTAGCTGATACTTCTATGATGGTTTGTTTAAAAATGAGTTGAATATTTGAACCCGTACGAACCGTTTGCGTTCGAGTTCAAGTTCAAGATCATCAAAAGAAGAAAGAAAAAAACATCAAAAGCATGTTCGACCGATGTGAGATCAGTACCATACGATACCACATTAAAGTTTTAGCGTTCTCGCATAAAAGGTTGAAAGGAAGCTAAACACGTCCACAATTCATCAACGTAAATGACAGCACTTGACCGGTTTGAGTCTACCAATTCCATCGCTTGCTATATGCGTCCGTTAGATTCCTATGGAGATCATTAGACGCTGCGCACAAGAAGTATAAAATTCGCAAGTCGTGATTGTTCAATCAATCGAATGATTCGCACTTTAGCGCGGCCTATACAGGAAGTTTTAATAATATAATTTATTCGAAACTAAGCTCAAAGATAGATTAGGGATTGTTGCGGTCGATGGC